TCTGAGAAGTAAGAATGAGCTGTGGGAAATTAAGTTTCAGGGGGAAGGGCCCAAACTGAGGCTTAAGGAAATGCTTATAGTTTAATGCTTTTTAGGAATAGGCTCAAATGCTGGGAAACAGTAGCATACAGACCCACTCTGCTAGCCTACAACCAGCCAAGTTGAGGGAATTTTCTTGGGGGCCCAGTTCCATACTGAGCAGGGCATTCTGGGAGAAGCAGTTGTATATCCAGAGTTGCCCTTACACACTGGGCAAAAAGGAATGGATCTTTCCAATCACAATGGTATATATAAGCAGCCCTATAATCTCTAAATACATATGACATGGAAAAATAATATCTATGTGTTTTTTTCATTGTTTCCCCAATCTCTTCCCAACCTGTCTACATCTTCATTGAGGCAGATTAACAAATTTCCATTTTGTCTGAATGAGTCAAAATGTACGCCAAGTGAATAGTAAAGAATAAAATATCACATAAATCTAGAAGGATAGAATGGCAGAGCTATAAAGTTCATCTAGTCAAACCCTCTCATTTTTCAGATAGATAAACTGAAGTACAGAGAGGTAAAGTACCTGCTCAAAGTCACAGAGCAAGTCAGGGGCACAAGTTGTCTAACTCCTAGTCACTGTCTAGCTGGTATTACTGAGATCACCAGCCTTTTGGGGTCCAGATTTATATTTAGAATGAGCATTTGAGGTCACTGGACAGTGAGCCAGGGATCCAACCTCAACCAGCTACTCCAGCTACAAGCATCCCCCTGGTTGGCTTCCAAATACCCCAACCTCTCCTCCTCATCCCTTCCAGTATGAGTCAAGGTCCTAGTTTGGGATCCAGTTTGGTTGGAAAGGAGGCAGAAAAGTTACTTGAAAGATGCCTGACCAATGGCCCTGTGGCCCAAAGCTCCATTGTAGGCTCTAAACCAACCTGATCAAGTCTATCTGGACAGTAGACAAAAGCTTTCAGCCAAAGGCAAGACCCTGGCAGATTTGCTCAAAAAATACCTGGTTCCTAAATGCAGCAATTTAGTGGTCAGCCCAGTGAGACATGAACCAAGCAATGAAAGGCCCTAAGATGGGGAAGAGAAATATAGCCTAACCTGCCTTTGACCCAACCCATCCTTGGGACTCTCTGTCTAAATACATAGCGTACCATTTTCCCCATGCCTAGAAAATTCTGTCTCCATCTGAGTGATCCATGAGTCTGAACTATCTTGTACCCAGTAACAGACTTTCCTGACCATTGTCCCCTTCCCTGGGTGGTGAGAGCCCTAGTCCCTATCCTCCAACCTAGGAGCCTACAAGGGCCATGCTTATAAACTACCCAATAAAAGATGCCTCCCATCATATTTTATGGCTCAGTGTTAGACTGTTAGTCAAGGTGGAAAGTGCAGAGTAATGGGTTTTCTCTGGAGCACATTTAAAAAGACCTAAGCTTAGAGCCAATGTTAACAACTCTGGCTTGGTCTACCTTGTCCCCTGGATCCCCAACCCTAAGCCTTCCCTAGCTCCAACACACTTAGGGTTCCAATAATGACCTGGGGCCCACAACCAATGCTATCTTGTTCCTCTTTACCCTCTTTCCTCCAAAAGTCAACTTTCCCTGGGTCCTATGCCTGGGAGGAATGGCAGGCAAAATGTTCCTGAGATAGAGGCAACTGACCAAGGTCTGGTTTGGGGGGGAAAGGAAAAGATCAGGAGAGAAATGAGCCTATACTTTTTGCAGAGCTACAAGGAAAACTCAACCAGGAAGCCATGCTATACTTTCCACCAGATTGCCTGGCTGCCCTGTCCTCTCTGCTGCTTGGTCCTGGCAGGGGGACTCCTAAATTTCCTACAAGCTCTGAAAAAAGTATAGGCTCATTTCTCTCTTGATCTTTTCCTTTTCCCCCTAAACCAGACCTTGGTCACTTGCCTCCATCTCAGGAATCTTTTGCCTGCTATTTGTCTCAGGCATAGGACCAAGGGAAAGTTGGCTTCCCTTCAAAAACAGGTGAAGAGAAGGCACAAGATACACTGTTAGTGCCACCACAGAACTCTACACATCACAGAATCCACAAAAACTGTACATTGCATGCTCTAGAATGGCCTGAATTCCATGTCCTTTCTACTCTCCATGGCTTTTCCCCATGCCCAGAGACCCCTCTGATGTGGAGTTAGCCCCCAAACAACAAAACTACCTTTCTCTGGGGCTCCCTCATAACAGTTACAATTATCTGCAGAACCTTAGATTCATAAAGTCATTCAGTGGCAGCTTTAGAACTGTAAAGATATTAGGCCTAGCCAAAGAGAATCTGGGGTGTAGGATGCCTCCAAACATTAAATTCACAGATTTTTAGAGATGAAAGGCATGTCAGACATTAATAGAAATGGACAATGCACCGCATTAATAGAAATGTATAATGCACCAACCTCTGTGATTATGGGGCTATATGTTCCATGTTCCCCAGAATGGTTATTAGGCAAATGCTGGCTGATAAACATTTTAGCAAGCTTCTACTTCTATCCTTTTGAGACACCAGTGCTGTGGCACAAGTTGCTGGGAAATTTTGCGTAAACTGTAGAAAGCATCTGGAGGCAGAGACACATTTGGAATCTCAGGATCTGAATGGTTACTTGGGAAAGCTGAGGGGACCAAGAAAGGTAGTGCTAAAGATGAGATTTTTCTAGGAGCTCAGGAATGTGGTGGGGTATTCTTGACCTTTTCAAAATAAAAACTGAGGTGTTCCCAAGAGCATCCAGTATCAAAAATAACTTTCATGAATTCAAGATGCACCACAACAAGGACCCAAGCCAAAGTATTCTGAGACCCTAGGGACGTACCAAATTCCTTTCTGTCCCTTCCTGACCTATACTCACCATAATTTAAACCAGTAAACCCAGCCCTTCAATGGACCTAGTCTGTGTCAGAGTACACACCAGCCACACCTCTGCACAGCCTACTGCCGCCCCCCCCCTTTCCCAGCTGCACTGTGAGGTCTTGACCGGAAAGTCCCAGCCAGCCCTCCCCCTGAGTCCCCTATGATCACCTACTTTGAAGTTTGTTCCCCAGCAGTAAACCTCTTCCTGGTAAAGTAGTGGTTTTTCCAAGTTTTATTACATACTCTGAAGGGCCCAGCTCTAGGCCTGCTCACACCACATGAATGCCAGGACCTAGCTTCAGCCCATCCCCCACTACCTCCCATGAAGTTCCACCCAGACTTTGCCACTGACTCTGAAGGCCAACAGCCTGCCTTCAACCACAGGGCAATGCTCAGCAGGTGCCCTCCTAGGTAACCTAGGCAACAGCCAGAGGCCCTACCCTGGCTGCCTTCCCAAGGGCCCCTGAACTGCATCAAAGCAAGGAAAAGGTAGTCCCAAGGGTGAGTATGGCAGTGACGTTACTCCTAGTTGTTCTACACAGTCCAGGGACCCCCAACCCTTGCTCATCAGTGTGGCCTGGGCAATCTCCGCCCTGGACAGCTACTGAGGCACACTCTAATTTTCAAGTGAGACCCACACATTGTGGTGCCAATGGGTCATAAGAGGCACCAAGAGGTACCCCAAATTCTCTTCTTCAAAGGTAGCCCACGAAACGGCAAACTTTAAAAAGGGGGTTCCTTGGTTCAGAGCAGCTGTAGGAGTGGCTGTTCAAGGGCCCAGGGAATCCACAGGTGGACGCCCTAGAATTCAAGGTTTCTGTGTTCAATAAATAATACGGAGGCCCCCACAGAAGGCAGCAGAAGTACTTGTTGGGGTGGCGAGATGAGGGAACCCTTTAGCCCCAGGGCAACACTATGAAAAGCCACGTATTCTGAGCTGCGAACTTTCAGCCAGTGACAGCAGAGCTGTTCTGAGGAGCCACAGAAGGAGCAAGCCTTCAGGGAGAAGGCATCCCAAGTCCCTCGCTCCTGTCCCTCACTCCCTCCCTAGACTCCTCATCAGAACTGCCAAGGGGAATTGCCATTGGTTCTCTGAGAAAACAGGATAGCTCCTCTGACTTCAGAGCCTATGGGCAGATTCAATGCGAAGAGAAGGCAAGGTTGCAGTCTTGCGGCCACAGGCCTAGAGAGCGAAGGCTATGCCCTGCAGCCCTGCCTGTCTTAGGGAAGAAGACCAAGTCAGCCCCACACAAAAGTGGGAGAGGTGGAGGCCGGCATTCTGGTTGAGGCCAGACGAGGCATCCCACAGATAGTGGAGACGCTCGGGCGCCAGGGAGGGAAGGCTCAGGTTGGGGGAGGCGTGGAGTGAGTCTCAGGGCCCAGCCTGCCAGCTGCCTTACACTCCTCTGGCAGGAGACCTCGGAGACCGCCTCCCTGCTTGCTTTGGGGTTCAGCTCAGAGGGCACAGAGATCTGCTCGCTCCCTCAGAGTGGTAGAGACCGGCCCGGCCTGGCTGGGTCATAACCACGGCAAGCAAAGAGACGCGCGCCCACCCCACTCGCACTCCCTCCCTTCCCCTCTCTCTCTCCAACAGACACACACGCCGGCCTTGTGTTTGACTCTTCGCTCAGTCACCAGGATTCTTAAAGTGTTTTTGACAGAAAACACCTCCACTCCCTGTACAGGAACAGGGGCTGCTGCGGAGATCCGCAGTACGGTATTTCTCTCAAAGCCCTCCCAGCCTCCCAACTCTCCTCTCTCCATGACTTCGCACCGCCTCCAAAAAAAATCTGCAAATATTTCCCCCCAACTACACATGGTCAGCATACTTAAAAAACAAAAACAAAAACCCAAAAGGTGCGTCTCGATTTGTGCCAGGGCTAAAAAGCTCATTCCTTGCCTGTGATCAATGAATATCCCAGGTCCCACCCAAGGGACGTCTTGTGCCTAGTCTCCATAGGTGAGGGTGCCCTGAGCCCCGCAACCCGCGCCTTAGCAGTGCCGTGGGCAAGGGACAAGGGGGAGGAGTCGAAGCAGAAAGCTGAAGGGGCGCCTCCGACCGAGAGGTCAGGAGTCGGCGGCAGTGGGAGCCGAGGACACCCTTGCCCAGTATGCCAGGAGGGGCGCGCGGGGCCACTCACCTGCTTGGAACTCCACTTGGCGATTTTTCTCTCTTTCCTCCTGCAGCAGCATGGAGTAGAGGATCCCAAAAGAGTTCTGGATGCCAAAGATGGAGCCGTTGCACCAGGTGGCAGCGAAGACCACCATCCAGCCGAAGCCACCTTCGGGGGGCTGAAAGCCGCGCGCGGTGCCGCGGGTCTCCACGGTAGGCGTGGACTTGGATTCATGCACTGGCTCGGGCTCAAATTCCAACTCCGGCAAGGGTGCAGGGTCCGGTAGGGGCTGGGGCTCCGGCTGCGGCTCGGGTGGGGGCACTGGCACCGGCTCCGGCTCGGGCTCTGGCTCGGGGCTACCCACCCACTCCTGCTGTTCCTGGTCTGCTTCCCGCCAGGGCCCCTTTGCTTCCTTGCTCGCCAGGCTTTGCAGCGCCATCTCGGCAGGGGGACTGTGGCTGCTCCGGCGGGAGGAGCCGCTGTGTGGCTGGTACTTGTTTCTGCTGCTTCTGCTGCCGCTGCTGCCGCTGCCGCCGCTGCCGCAGCCGCTCCGAGCACTGCTGCCGCCGCTGCCTCCTCCTCCCGGCTCCGCGCCCCAGCTGGCCCGCCTGTCCCGCGACAGACGGTCCCTCGAGTCCTCTCCTCCTCCTCCCACGTCCAACCCCCCTTCTGCTCTCCCCATGTCATCTCTCTCCTCCCCCTCCTCTTCTCCCCCCCACCTCTTCCTCCCTCAACAGGCAGCCGCTACAGCCTTGCTCTTCTCCCTAGTCCTTCCTGCTCCCCATACCCTCCTACCTACCCTAGCCACTGCTCCCTACCTCAACTTCCTTTCCAAACTACTGAATCCTGTCCTCCTTATCCAGATACCCAGTAGAGGGAGAGTTTAAATGGTTTTTCCATAAACTATCCTGCTCCCCCTGCCTTCTCCCCACGGGCTCCAAACAGGCATTGATCACCACAGAATTTCCAGGGAAGACCCCACTGTCCTTTTCTCCCACTCTCTTCTTCCTCACAAGCAGCCTGGAACTGAGGTGGTCCCGAGGACCCCAGGACAAAAGTTGGACTGTGAGACCCCACCCTGCCCTCAGGAATCTCTTTGTCCCCCACTTGGGCTTGGGGAGAGCGACCTGGAGGGGAAAACCCAGACTTCGGACAGAAGGTGGGCACAATCTTCTAGAGCCGGGGGCTCAGCCTCCCACGGTCCTGCGCAACCCCCACCCCCACCCCCACCCCCAGTCTCTCCCCCTTCGCCCCCGCCCTTCCCGGCAAATCCCTGGCGGGGCGCGAAGGGGAGGAGACAGCCCGGCAGCGAGGCCCGCCCCTCCGGGCAGTCAATCAGGGTTTTGTTTGCGCCAACCTGGAGCCCAGAGGAGCGGTAGAGGGCCGGGTCTGGTCCGGGGGCTGGGCCAGGAAGGGAGGGAGGTGCAGTGACACCGGAGGGGGCCGGGCCCAGGCGGGGCCGGAGCCCAAGCTCAGCTTAGGCTCCTCCCGGCTCTCTGTCCTGCAGTGGGGAACTAGGAGTCGACGCCAGGTCAAGCAGCCAGTTGGGCAAGGGCCGATCTTCCGGCCCTCCGGACTCCGCTGAGCCTCTTGCGAAGGGTGTCTTTCCACCGCCCCCTTCCGCCCACCTCAGGCTTAGAGACGTGAGAGTCTCGCTGAATGTCCCAGACTAAGGCCCCAGCCCCGCGAGGATAAGGGAGATTTTGCTCCCCAGACAGCGCACGGGTCCCAGGAGGTGGGATGGGTGATCGGCCCTGTGGGCGGCCCGGCTCCCTGCCGGAGTGCGCTGCTGCGACCAGCCTCAGCCCTGGGGACCCGCCCCACGATCCCGGGAAGTTCTGCCTCCCCTGAGGGCCCACGCGTCTAATGCACTAATCATGAGGTCGCGGTGTGGTTACTAAGCTACTCCGCTCTCCACCAGCAGGCGGGAGAGCGCCAGGCTGTTTCTACCCGGCATCTCATTAACCTTCTTGCCGGGTGAAGACTGTATGGCCGGTGAAAATGCAGCTCAGGGCTTTGCCAGATGCCCACGAACACAGAGTTATTAAGCACGTAAGAGCGGGCTGAATAGAGGGTTTTCGAGGAGCTTGCCTGTCTTGAAAGGAATCCGTCTAAATTCACAAATCACGGGGGCTATACCAGTCAGCAGAGCAGGCATTGCTTGAGCGAATAAGAGCGCCTTTACTGCCACCTTTTTAGTCAAGGGTCTCACCTACTTTTTCCAAGCACAAAACCTGAGGCTCAACGTAGTCAAGGCATTTTTTAGCCTAAGGTCATGGGACAAGTCAAGTACAAGCTGGAATTCAAGGCAGGTCTCCATACATCAAAGCCTCACACATTTCCTAAGCTTCACCACAGCAGTCTAGGGCTAGGCACTTTGGGAGAGGGACAAAGGAAGGAAGACAGGATTTGGCTGAGAAATCACAGTAGGCTTCTGGGAGAGGTTGTGGCCTAGATGGGCCTTGAATGTTGAGAAGGATTTTAACAGCCTGGGGGTAGGGTGGGGTGTCCCTGCCTAAAAGAGACAAAGCGCAGAGGCATAGAAGGCCTCTACTCATGGAAAAGAGGTAAGTGAAAGTTAATCAGGCCAAAGAGTTAATATTTATGTTACCTCTTCCAGGAAACATTTACATTTTAATAAAAATCCACAATGCTTTAGCCATGAGTGACAAATCATGCACATAATGGGCACTAGGGCTTAAGATTTGCTTTTTAGTCAGGGGTCTCACCATACACATGACCAACTATTGCCCCAGGGGACACTAGCCTTGGTTTCCATTTGCAGGGAACCTGAATAAAACCCTGAAAAAAGGTTGTTTCCAACCCCACAACTAAGACTAGACCTGGAGTCTTGCAGCTCATCTCATACCCTACTGTCTAAATTCTGTTTCCTCATTGTTTAAATGGGTTTTTAGATCACCGGAGTGGGGGGTGAGGGTGGATAATAACACTGAGAATCTCCTATGAACCTAGCACTATGTTAGCCCTCTACATACATGCTCTTATATAATCATAACAACCCTATAAGGTCGGGATGGATTTGTGCCTATATTATAACTGAGGAAACAGGGACTCTAAGAGGTTAAGTCAGTTGCTTAAGTCTACAAAGCCAGTAAGAGGTAGCACAGGAATTTTTGCTTATTTGTGTAAGCTTCAAAGTATATGCCCCTACCAGAAGACAGGATCCTGTAACCACCATCCCACTATTCTAGAAACACATGCAATATCTACCATTTCAATCCTCTTTAATGGCTAGAGTACTGGTATGAGAAGATCTGGGTTCTAATCTTGATTCTACCATGGCATACCTGTGTGGGTCTAAGCACATCGTTTTCCCTTGTTGAGCTTCAGTTTCTTTATTGCAGAATGGAGCTAATACTTACTTCACAGTTATTAAATGGCATGCTGAGAAGTATAGGCTTTATTTTGGATATACAAGGGAGCCACTGAAGATTTTTGAGTAGGAGACTAACATCAAATCTACATTTTAGAAAGAAAACTGTGGTGACCGCGTAGAGATACTGTGGCTTGGACAGATAAGAGGTAAGGAAACCAAGCAGGTTAAAAAAAAATGTTGATAATATGAAATAGGGCAGTGACTGTGAGGATGAAGAAAAAAGGATGATTCTGTGAACCACTGTTATAAAAGAGTTGACAGATTTGGGTACTGAGGGAAAAAGAAGAAACAAAGATGATGCTGACATTTGTTGCTTGAGTGAAGGAAAAAGTGGTGATAGTGTTAACAAAGATTGGGAATTAGGAGCCAAATCAGATCTGACATGCCTGTGACTTCCGTTCTCTTTCTAAATAATCCTGTCAATTATAGCTCTAAAATGCAACTTTAATCATGATATTTCTCGGGGCGCCTGGGTGGCTCAGTCGTTAAGTGTCTGCCTTCGGATTGAGCCCCGCATCAGGCTCCCTGCTCAGCAGGAAGCCTGCTTCTCCCTCTCCCCCTCCCCCTGCTTGTGTTCCCTCTCTCGCTATGTCTCTCTCTGTCAAATAAATAAATAAAATCTTTTAAAAAAAGAGCATTAATCATGATATTTCTCTGCTCTAAAAACTTCCAATGATTCTCCATTTGAATCTTAAGTTTAAATTCCTCAGCCAGGCATAAAAGGTCCTTTATGGTTTGGGACCAGCCTTATTCACTCAGCAAATATTTACTAAGAGCCTCTGTCTGCCAGGCTCTATACTAAATATCAAGGACACACACAAAAAAACCTGGTGCCTGTTTCTGAGGATCTTATATTCAACCTGTCTAGCACCATTCTCCGTCATTTTGTTCCCCTCTTTTCTTCCATTCATGCCAGGCTCCAAACACGCTGGATTACCTACCATTTCATGACTTATGGGCACCTGCTGATTTCTCAGCCCTCTCCACTGATTCTTCCCACTGTTCTCCAGTTGAAATTTTATGCCTTTCCTGAATCTCCAGAGTCAGTTCAACAAAGCAAACAGGAAGGTTAGTGCTGAACTGAGGAGGCATGTCTCTTGCCTTTCTTATGCCATTCAGCCATTCATTTCACAAATAGTTATTTTGAGCAACTATTGTGTGCCAGTCACTATGTCAGGTGCTGGAAACATACAATGGTCCTTGTCCTGGTGGAGTTTACATTCTAGTGGGAACTATTAATAATTATAATTACCATTTATTGAACTTGACTCCACTAGACTGGATGAAAAAATCTGAGATTGAGGAAAAGGGAAAGGAAGGATGTAAAGGATGAGACAAAGTTGAGAATGAGGTGGTAGAGGTAGGGCTAGTGTTTCAAGATGAATGAATTTTTCTACAAATTTCTAAGTCAGACTTAGTCAACAAACATCATCAATAGCAAAAAAAAAAAAATCTTTAGAAAGCACCTACTATGTATAGATCTGTTCAGCTTGGCTCATGCTCATGACAAGTAAGTGAGGTGTGGCCCCTGTAAGCCCTTTAAATTATTTTACTTGTCTGACTGTGGACTTTAGGAAACTCTAGTGGAGGTCTCTGGTTTATACTGCAGCTGAATGAATGTGCTTTCTTTCTGGCCGTGACAGAAATAATCCCACAGTGGAATCATTCCAATTGTTTATGCCCTTGATTACTCATACTAGTGGGTGAAGCAAAGCAGTGGTTCCCTGACTTGGTCGCACATCCGAATCACCTAGAGACTTTTTATAACAGTACTGCCTCCTGTGTCCCAATCCACACTTGCTGAATCAGAATACCTGAGGGTGGGAGCCAGGAATTCATAGTTTTAACAAGTCTCCCAGTAATATAGATGCACTGCCAGATTTCAAATCCACTACCCAAAACAATAATAACCCAAAATTTTGATCTCAAAGACTAGAATAATTTCTGTAAAATTTCTCCCAAAACTTTTGGGACCAACATAAGGATATCAATTTTTAATGTTGCCATGTGAGGACATGTGTCATTACTAGCATATCATTAATGAAATGATATTTTAACATTGAAATAATGAAAATTTAGAAAGGCCATAGTCTTTTACTAAGAAGTCTTTCTCAAGAAAAGTCAGTGGGCAACAATTTTTCTCATGTGTCAACAAACTGATGAAAATGTCAGACTGTCATGGATCTGCAGATTAGTGCTTGGGATTCACTGGACCATACAACTTTTGAAAGCCCTGCGATCCTTGACATTCTCTATTTTAGGCCAAAGGTACTTCCTTGCTTTGA